GCCCGCGCCCAGACCCGCGGCCCCCGACGGCGCTCGGGCTTCGGGCCGCCTGAGCCTCGCCTGCCTCCTGCTGCTGCTGCTGCTGCTGCTGCTGCCGGCCCGCGTAGACACGTCCTGGTGGTGAGTGGGGCTCCCGAGGTTGGGGGCTGCGGCGCCGGGCCGCGAGGCGGCGGGCGGCGTCTGGAGGGAATAGACAGACCGCTCCGGGCACCCGCTGCTGCGCGGGCCAGGTTGTCGCCTCCACGGGTAGAGATGGTCCCCGCCGGACTGTTAACGTCGCCTGGCTGCGGCGGGAACCTGGGAGTAAGGACGGGCCGCAGCTTTCCGGGTGGGGTGGGCGCTGGGTATTGGTGGTCAAGGCCCCCCCGCTGCCCCCCCCCCCCGTGTGTGTCCTTCATCAGAATGTTGTGCTCCCCCCTCGGTCTCTGGTGAACACTCTCCCCGCCCTTGAGCCTCTGGCCGCTCAAACCTATGAAGCAAAAACTACTTTCCGAGTTTCTTGCAGGGGAAGTTCAAGGAAGCGTCTGGGGCCATCGGTGGCCGTCCAGCAGCGCCTCCTGACACCTAAGGTCCCCACCCACCCCACACACACCCCAGGTGGAGAAAGGGGCAGCTGACATGGGCGGAGGAGCCTGTCACTAGCCGACCCCACCCGGTGACAGGCTTTGATGTGGCGGCAGCAGCACCCAGCAAGTTTTAGAAATAGAATTGAGGCAAAAACAAAAACAAAGCTGCCACATTCACTCTCACGATTAAAACAAACAAAACACTTGGGTTTGCACGACTTAGGCATTTGTCTTCGGCCTCCGTCCGGAAACTGTTACTTCCAACCTCTGTGCCTTCCCTCTTCAAGCGCCTTGTTCTTCCCCAGGTGACCCCCTCTCCGGTCTCTCCCTTCCAAGAGTAGAGGCTTCTGGAGCCCCAAAGAATTGGGAGACCCTCTCCCCGACTTCTTGCAGCCCTTGCACCGACTTTCCCAAGAGGGCAGACAAGCAAAATCCTCGTGCACTGGTTGTCAGTCCTTTTCCAAGTCCTCCCCTGCACCCGGCCAGCCCTGGGTGGCACTCATCTTCTTCTAGGCTGCTCTCCCTCTTTTCCCACCTTGGGGTTTGGGGGTGGAACAGGCCGGGCAAGGGGGAGGTTTGTACTGAGAAAAGACTGGGGCTTCTCATTTTCCCTGCCGCCCCCCATCAGTTTGGCCTTTGGATTGGGCTGCTGCTCTTCCACCCAGCAGCGAACCCCTTCCTTCCTTTCCTTACTCTGCCCCTCCCGGGACCCCCTCCCCAATTGTGTTCTCTGCTCGCCTTGCACCCTGTGGCTTTTCTCCTCTGACTTGGAATCCTGGCTGGAGGGGCGAGGGATAAGCTGGCTGAGGGGCCAGCAAGCTCCCGCTACAGATTCCTATCATTTCAAGATGCGTCTCTCTCCATCCCAGCCCCCCCACCTCCTCCCTGCTTTCCTGTTTCAGAAAAATCTCTCTTTTGGATCTTTTTTATCTCTGCAGTGTTGGGGAAGGCGAGGGGGGGTTCTGGATGGGGGAGCAGGGAGGCCCATATCTTCCATCTGGCTGGAAACATTCCTTTAGAAAGGGAAAGGGAAGAAGGGGGACAAGGAGAAAAGTCTTTCAAAGTTCAGCGTGAGATCAAAGCCACCCTATGTTCAAGGGCCCAGCATGGCTGGGGACGTGTGTCTGGGTCTCCAGTGGCCCTGCACAGCGAGGACGTGGGGCCCACTGGCATCTTTTCCCACTCCAAGTGGCAGTTTGCTTTTCGGGAACCCTTGAGTGCTCCTGGCCAGCTTGGTGGGGGGGGGGGGCTCACCTGGCTTTAGGTGAGCGAGTATCACTCTGCTCTTAGTATTTCAGCTTCCTGGTAATAGTTCCCAAAGACCCGGCCGGGCCCTTCCTGGTTCCTATTTTTTTCCCTTGGTTACCCGGCTCCCTTTTTCTTTCTCCTCTGCCGCAACCCCCTCCCTGGCGCCACGTGGTTCATATTAAAGACTTTGGAAGAGCTTCTGGGTGGAAGAGGAGTTAGGGAGGCAGGCCGGCAGGTGGGTGACAGTGAAATGGAGAAGGGAACCACGGTGCCAGGGTGGGGAGTGAGGGCAGAGACTACTCTCTTCTGACCTCCCACCTGTCATGGCTGCAGGCCCCAGATGCTGCCTCAGGGGTCATCACTTCGGGTTAAAGTGGAAAGCTGCTTTCTAAAGACAGGTCAAGCACAGAGGTGATTATCTCTTTCCCTCTTTCCCTCGGGAGCCAAACCGGTAAGGTTGGAATTCTGTATAAGCCTGGGAGAGATGCCCGTGGAGTTACTGTGGTTCCTTGTTCCGCCCTGGTGCAGAAGGTCATTTCTGACACCAGCTAGTAATCACCCCCCACCACCCTGCCCTGTACACTCAGCCAGCCCTTCCTCTCCCCACCTCAGAAGAGGAAAGGATGGTTTCCTCGTAATCTCTGACAACCAGAACAAGAAATAGGGGACTCCTGGCTTGTGTTCCCCTCTTCCATTTTGCATTCCGCAGGGAGTTGCATGGAGGGAATCGCAAGAGCAGAAGTGTGCACGGACTTGGAGGGGGAGGAGCAGAAGGCACCAAACAAGGCCTCGCTAAACCCCAGACCTCCCAGCTAGCTCCATGCACACGCTCTTCTTCTATGGGCAAAATGAGCCAGTGAGGTAGGCGCTGTTATCCCCATTTCACGTGTGAAGGGGAGTAGTAAGAACTTGTTCAAGCCCACACCAACTCTGGAGCCAAGACGGGTCTGTCCCCGGGTTAGCCCTCTTAATCGCCCCAAACCTGTTTCTTCCCCTGTAAATCAGTGCTCCCATGCCCACCACCCCGCCCCCCAACTTTCTGGACTTTTGCATGGGCAAATGTTTTGTGATACACAAGGTACCATATAAATGATACTGTATTAGGAGATTCAGGGAGGGGAATAGCTTCAGCCCTGTGTTCAAAACCCTATAGTCGTTAAATTGAACCATGCACACTAGAAACTTATAGCAATAAAAAGAGGATGCCTGGCCTCATTTTAAAAGACACAAACAGAGAAATCTGCAAATTGGCTGTCACAAAGAACGAAGTTATAACTAAATGAAGTTTATGACTGGCTAGGGAAGAAAGGAGTAGGGGAGGAACAAGAGAGGTTAGGTGTTGATTCAGCAAACACTTGTGAAGCACCTACTGTGTGCCAGATACTGTTCTAGGTACTGTGGGGTGTTGAAGCAGACAAGAGACACACAAGTCTCTACCTTCATGGAGCAGTGCACCTGGGTCACCTGCAGAGGTTGGCAAAAAGCGGGTTCTGCTTCACTAGGCCAGGGTGAGGCCTGAGTGCCAGCATTTCTAGCACATCCCCAGGTGATGTTGACGCTGCGTCGTGGGGACCGGCCGGACGTGGAGCAGCCAGGGACTGAGGTAGGCTAGGAGCCACTTTGTCAAGGGAGGTGAACTGATCAAAAGCAGATGGATAGAGCATTTAGGGGCCGGAAGCTGGGAAGAAAGTGGAAACTTCTAGAAAGGAAAACACAACATCTTGCCCCGCCCCCCTGCCCCCTACCAAATCCGGATGGGGCAGACTGGAGGGTGCCTTAAACAGCTTTTGCCCCCAACAGCTGAGCTCTGTGCTTGGCACATGGTAGGTATCTTGTGGGCCTGTGTGAGTGAAGAAGGGAAGACTGGTCTGCTTTAGCGGAGTCCTCACACCAACTACAGAGGACTGACCACTGGGCAGCAGGCAAGTGTCCTGCTCCTGAGAATCTTGAAGCAGTTACTCAGCGGGGTAAGGGTGGTAGCAGGAAGACTTAATTATTTCCCATCTCACATACTGAAAAGATGTTCCCACGCTCAGCCAGGATGTCACAAGAAGGACCAGTGTGGGCTGCAGCAGAATAGACTTAAGTCAGACCACAGGAAGGACTGTTTGCCAGTATGGCCTGCCCCCCTCCAGACGGTCTCAGGAGGGCCGGATTCTGGTCTCCCCTTCCCACCCGACCCCCCTGCTCCCAAGCCCCTGTACTGAAGAAACAAAACACCCATCGCTCAGCGCAGTGCCGGGCTGCACTGGCGCACTGAGCAAGTGGTGGTGAGCCGGGGACGCGCTCCAGCTGCAATGGTCTCGATTCTCCAAACAAAGCACCGCGGCAGTGGGTGGAACTCTGGACTGTGCGTCAGGCAGCCCTTTCCGGCCTGGCCCAGCCGGGGCTGTTTATTTTGTTTGTTCCTGGAAGCTGCTGCCCTGATGGACAGCGCAGGGGACGCTGACTCCATGGGATTTGCCGGTGGCGGCTCAGCCCTCCCCCGGGACAGATGGGCCCCATCAGCCCCGCCAGCTCCAGAAGAGGCCAGCATCAGCCCTGCTTGTGTTTGTTTGAGTTGGTGTCACCAGCGCTGATCCAATCTGTGGGTGAGGGCTCGGTGTGGGAATGGGGGGGGGCAGGGACACAGAGCCCAGGGCGGCCAGACTCTCCCGTCTGCCCTTCTTACCCCCTTCCAGCCCCATTCTGGGGCCCTTCCCAAGCCACAGACTCATGGCTCAGACGGAATCTTTTCAGCCCAAAGCAACAACTGCCCCCCCCCGGGCCCCCACCTGTTCAGGGAAGGGGGCAGATCAGACAACCCCCAGCTGCTGGAGGAACTGGAGGAAGACGCAGGGTGCTGGGAAGATGGAAGGGCAGTGAGAAGTGGGTGAATGGGTCAGACTCGCTGGGTGGCCCTGTGGATGAGGGGAAAGGTGATGGCACCCTCCTGTCTTCCCTCAGAAATGTTCTTCCTGTGGCTCGGCTGGTGGTGGAGCTGAGGCTGGGGGGAACTTGAGTGGAGGGAAAATGCCGCCTTGAGAGAGCTGACCCAGCTGCTCTCACACTGTGCACACTGGATGGGTCGGGACGGGAAAGTGGGGAGAGCCACCCCAGGACTCCAGCCCTCTCTGCCCATGCAGGGTCGTGGCAGGAAGTCTGGGGGGGACGGTTTTACAAGACCCTATTTAGAAAGAGTGTGGCTGGGGTCTCCCTCCCAGACCTCAGGGCTGGGAATGAGAGTGTTTAGCGCCACAGGAGGACGGGTGTGTGGTCACTCAGAGCCGCCCGCTTCTCGCCTGGCCGCCCTGTCGCCCTGCTCTTCCCCCAGCACACTTCACCGAGCAGTCCTGCCGTGCGAGCCTCGCACACGGGGGTGTAAGAGTGCTGCCGGACTCTTCTTTTGTTAGTTTATTTTTCTGCGAGGATCTTAATGTCGTTAAATAAACAGGCAAGGGGCTTGTGTCGTGCCCACAGCTTCTGAGTAAGTGACACGCGCTGGCCTCTGTCCTGGGAGTGTGTCACTTCAGCCTGGGCTGGGGGGCTGGTGACGGTGGGAGACCGCACGACTACTCCCTGCAGCTGTGTGATGACTGTCCAGAGCTTGTGGGAAACGCTCCCACCCACAGGCCTCGGAGAGTGGGGGGGTGTGGCGGGGGGAGCTTCCCCAGGGCCTGAATGCGAACCTCCTGCCCCTTCTTCCCCTCTGGAGGCAGAGGAAGGGCCAGGAGGCGCTGACAGGCCCATCTCCGCCCGCCAGGTACATCGGGGCGCTGGGGGCCCGCGTGATCTGCGACAATATCCCCGGCCTGGTGAGTCGGCAGCGGCAGCTGTGCCAGCGCTACCCAGACATCATGCGTTCGGTGGGCGAGGGCGCCCGGGAGTGGATCCGCGAGTGTCAGCACCAGTTCCGCCACCACCGCTGGAACTGCAGCACGCTGGACCGTGACCACACCGTCTTCGGCCGCGCCATGCTCAGAAGTAGGGGCCCTCCCATCCTGCCCCGCTCCTTCCCTGTCTGTGCTTGGGGTAGCGCAGCAGCAGCCCCCTCCAGCCTGCACGTTACTTGGCGATGAGAGAGGAGGGAGGGCAGAGCCCAGCAGTCATGGGGAACCAGGCCTCGGTACCTTAGGAGTTAGGCCCCTCTAATCCCTGCATTCTGGGGTGACCAGACCTCCCTGGCCCCCGTCTTCCTGCCTTCCCCTTCCCGCCACCCCTTCTGGGGTCGTCCTGCACGCTAAGCTGAAGACAAGGAATGGCCGCTAGTTCTTACCACCATCACCACCACACTTGCAGCTCTACAGTAATGGGAACAAGAGAGAAACAGAAAGGTGATATGTAAATATTTGGAGAGTCAGTGGCTTGGCCCCAGCTCAGCAGAAAAGCTAAGCAGAGCTAGGCAGTAAACTAAGAGAAAGGGAACGTGTTGGGAATCTAGAGGTGTCGGGGTGGGGGGCGGGAGGGGTGATTCATCAGTGCCCAAAAGCAGGGAGGGCAGGAAGCACCGGGAGGTGGGTGTGTGGAGGGAGCAGAAGTCTCTCTACCTAGGCCCCTCTTGGGCTGGGGTCTCCACTGTGGGGGAACTGTCCAGCAGAGCAGGCCTGAAAAGGCCTGGAATGTGGACTAAGGTGGGCTTGGCTGAGGCAGGGGTTGCCACTCAGTGGGAGGCGAAGACTCACTGTGAAGTGTCTCACTGTGAAGTGTCTCACTGTGTGAAACTTTTCCATGGATGGACCTGGGGAGTTTGGAAGGAAGGAAGGAAGAGCAGAGGTCAGAGCAAGAGGTCAGATGTGCGAAACGGACAGAGAGCAGTGAGGCCTGGGCCGGGGGAGGCCAGGTCCTCTGGGTGATGTCCTTGGAAGGGAAGGGCCCTTGACAACAAGGGGTGCCGGGTGGCTCCCGGAAAGCAGAGAAAGGAAGTTTCAGCGTCAAAGGTGGCGGAGTGGAAGAGACGGACGCGGACTTCTCTCCTGAAGCGCCGCCGCTCTCTCTGTCCAGGCAGCCGGGAGGCGGCGTTCGTGTATGCCATCTCGTCCGCCGGGGTGGTGCACGCTATCACTCGCGCCTGCAGCCAGGGCGAGCTGAGTGTGTGCAGCTGTGACCCCGGCACCCGGGGCCGCCACCATGACGGGCGTGGGGACTTCGACTGGGGCGGCTGCAGTGACAATATCCACTATGGCATTCAGTTTGCCAAGTCCTTCGTGGATGCCAAGGAGAAGAAGCTCAAGGATGCCCGGGCCCTCATGAACTTGCACAACAACCGCTGTGGCCGCACGGTCAGTACCACTCTCTGCATGCGCGTGCAGGTTTCCCTGCGTCCCCACGCCCCGGGACAGTGACTGCAAGGGAGCTTGAGGAAGCAAGCCTAGGTTCAACCAGGCGGGCAGAGTCCTCACAGAGGTAGAAAGCTGGGAAAGGCGGTGAAGAGATGGGAAGTCACTGTTTCGGAAGGCAGGCACGGCTCTCAGGGAGGCTAAGGGGGGAGGTGGGCTTGACCCGGTCAGTTCACTGGTGCCTAATGCTTTTCTGGGCAATGACAGATTACAAGCAGGCTGGTGTCCTTAACTCTAAAGAACGTGAAAACCAGGGGATGCTCTGGAATTGTGAACAGCGGCTCTCAAGTTCAAGCAGGCCCCCAAGAATAGGAAAACACTGTCCCGCCAGGAAGGTTTCTTGGAAGTGGGGGGTTCTTAAATTTGCTCAGGAGAAATGGGTGGGGCCCGATGGATGGAGAACAAGCAGGGCCCCAAGTAGCCAGCTGGGGCCAGCCAGGCCAGGCAGGGCCTGCAGATCTCAGGGGCTCTGCTTTTAGTCCGGGATGACTGGGAAGCACCCTGACGGGCTGCCCTCCCTTGCCTGCCTCCCTACCCAAGGCTGTGCGGCGGTTTCTGAAGCTGGAGTGTAAGTGCCATGGCGTAAGCGGCTCCTGCACGCTGCGCACCTGCTGGCGCGCGCTGTCAGATTTCCGCCGCACGGGGGACTACCTGCGGCGGCGCTACGACGGGGCCGTGCAGGTGACGGCCACCCAGGATGGTGCCAACTTCACGGCAGCGCGCCAGGGCAACCGCCATGCCACCCGGACTGACCTTGTCTACTTCGACAACTCCCCAGACTACTGCGTCTTGGACAAGGCCGCAGGTGAGGAAGGAGAGCAGGCAGGGAGGCGGAGCCCCGCACTGCGCTAAGGCGCAGGCGCCCCTGGGTCATCTAGGTCTATGGGGCTCAGGAATTGGGGACGGCGGGGAGGGGGTGCACGTGCAGCCCATCACCTCTCCACATGGAAGCCTGGTGAGGTGACTGTTGGCATGTGCTCGCCTGCCACGCTCACCGTGCAGAGAGGAAGGCCACTCAGCTCGGGGAAGCCAGGGTGATGCCACCCTTCACGTCCCGGACTCTGGGATGCACTGGGCTCAGGGAGCTTTAACCAAACCACCTCATTCCAGTACCTCGCAAGGTGTAGGCTACAGGAAGCTGCCATGCAGTTCTAAGGGTTAAGGAAATGAAAGGCTAAAGAAATGAATTGTAACAGGCAGACAAATGCAACTAATAAAGAGCTGGCTGGAGAAAGCCAGGACAAGTTATTTGGAAATGTGGAATTTCAGCTGTTTCTTGAAGTGTGGGGGTTCCTGGGTAGCTGAAGAGATGAGGGCCTGCTGGGCATGGGAGCAGAGTGGTGGGTGGGAAGCACAGGTTGTTCCAGGCAGAGCGTCTCAGTGAGGGTCTCAGGGAGAGAAAGAAAAAGGGAGAAAGAGGAGAAGAGATGTGTGTGAGGCTGTGGGCAGTGTGCTGCCACTGAAGACCCCAAAATGGAGCTGGGGGAGCAAGGAAAGAGGCGATTCTCATCAAAGACTTAACTGCTGGCAGGAAGCAGCAAAGCCTTGTTTGCTGGTGCACATATCAGTAGTGGAAATCTTGGCATGCTGGAAGGTGACGTGATACTCCCCCCGCCAGAGTGGAAGCTACCCTCCCGGCCCAGTCGGACAAACCAGGAACAACACAGCAAGGGACACAATTGCTTGTCCCCTAGTTCCGTCACACACTCCCAGGCTGGGCAGTCAGGACGTGGGTGAGATGGAGCCAAAGGCCTGCACTGTCCCCATCCTGCCTGTCTTCACCCCTCACAGTCGTTCCTGGAGTCAACTGGGCACAGAAACAGGGCGGGCTCTGCCAAGTCACAGGGGTAGTTTGTGTAGTTGGAAGGATGGAGGAGAAAAGGCGAGAGGGCCTCCTGCTTCTCTAGGTGACTTCCTGCCTTTCGGGCGATTCTCTGACCGCAGGGAGTATTTCCATGACAGCTGAGGTGTGAGGTTATGCCACACTTACAATGCACCTTCAGGAAAGGATCTTTGCCGTCAGGAGGAAAGATAAGTCCTGTGTGTATTGGCTTTCTTCAGAGAGACATAAAATGAGGTTTGAGAAAACCCTGAGTGGGGCCTGGAACTCAAAGGGTGTAATTCCAGAAGGGCGAATGGAGCCAGGAGTTCCCTCCAAAGCAGCACTGTCCGGTTGAACTTTCTGTGACGACAGCAATGTTTTACATCTGTGCGGCCCAGTACCACTTAGCCACATGTGATGCTCGAGTGCTTGAAACCAAACTTGTGTGACTGAGAAAGTTTTAAATTTTGTTGAATTTTAAATTCAACATGTGGCTAGCAGCTATACAGCAGACAGCTTGGCTCCAGAGTGTAGAAGCTCTTGGTGCACAAGAGGATGTAAGAGTTTGGAGAAGAACAGAGAGTGCAGACTTGGTCCCTCAACTCCAAATATTTTGGATTGTATGTTCCTATCATTAAAAATAGTTGAGCATGTGCCTCTAGTATATGCATATTTATTCCTCAAGTACATCTAGGTGTTACTATACTAATATATACATTCTAAAACACAGATACAAAATATTTTTACTTGATAAGATAAAAAACAAACAGAACTTCTAGCATTTTTTCCCCATAGCCCAGTGGGATGTGCAGACAACGCTCTTGAAACCAGTTTGCCTGTTCCCCTTCTTGCACCCCAGGCCGGGCACTTTTCCATGTCTAGAAAAGGGTTGGAGTGGAAACTCTCCAGGATCCAGCCCTGCTAAAATCAGTCAGAATGAGGGGCTCTGCCTTTTCTGTGGAGGGGGACAATGCCTGTTCCTGTCCTTCAAGAGCTCCCACTGGGAGGCGCAGACAGTATTTTAGGAATTCCTTGAAAGTGCTTCCAGCCAGCCAGGCAGGGCATTTTACCTCTTCAGCTGAGCAGACGTTATATGCTATTATTACACCTATTTTCACATGAGAAGAACTAAAGCCTGAATGGAGAGTAACAAACTTGCTGAAAATCACCTAACTGTGTTATTGGGATAAAGAGATGACATGCTTGAAATTTTGAAAGATGCTCTTAAATTACCCTTTAGGTAAAGGATTTTCCCAGTTTCCTCTACAACAGTACCTAAGAATGATTATTATTTTTTAATAAAATATTTATCATTAGTTTTTAAAGTGACAGAACAGGGATTTGGCCTAGACAGTGACTTCTGGCCTGTGTTTTTAAGGGCTGTGCTATCCTACATCACTATACAGTGCCGTTTAATAAAATACAAACTAAAGACCCAAATACTAACACATGGGAGCAGGACCCGTGTTGTGGTGAGACTTCTTGGAAAAGATGAAATTACAGGCTGGGTTACTTTTTTTTAAACTTTTTTTTTATGGAAAACTTCAAACGTGCATAGCCTGGCCCAGCTCTCAGAGTGATGGACATTTAAGGCCTGTTCCTTGGAGCTGTGGCGAGGGGCACTAAGAGTGAAGCGAGGGGTCTCCGGGGAGCCCCGAGAGCGGGAGGCAACAGGTCTGTGCAGAGGGCAGCGAGGTGACGGTCGCTTGGCTGGTGGGTGTATTTTCAGGAAGAGGGATTCTGTCTGGTTTCCTCACGAGGATGTGGGTAAGAGAACCCACGCAGCTTGAGTAAGAGATCACTTGGCTCTCACTCTCTCCCTCCCCACCCCAGGTTCCCTAGGCACTGCAGGCCGGGTCTGCAGCAAGACGTCTAAAGGGACAGACGGCTGTGAAATCATGTGCTGTGGCCGAGGGTATGACACAACGCGAGTCACCCGTGTCACCCAGTGTGAGTGCAAATTCCACTGGTGCTGTGCGGTGCGGTGCAAGGAGTGCAGAAATACTGTGGACGTCCACACGTGCAAGGCCCCCAAGAAGGCGGAGTGGCTGGACCAGACCTGAGCAGCTGGACACCTCATTCATCCCTCTACTTCAAACCTCCCGACTCAAAAGCACAAGATCTTCGCATGCACACCTTGCTCCACCCTCAGCCTCAGGCTGCTACAGCGTCTACGGAAGGACCAGGAGAGCGAGCCAGAGGGACTGTGGTGTCCTGGCTGGCGGCTCAGCCCTGGGAAGGAGTTGATAGGGGATGTAAGAAACAGTGGCTCCCGAACTCCCCCTCTGGAGGTTAGAAGGGAGTGGAAAAGGTGGGGTCTCCAGGGCGATATGAGTTGCACTAAAGCACGTGGTCAAGGTCCACTTTCCTTCCCCTTGCACTGCTATCCTGACACTCGGGTGTGCAAGAGGGGAAGGCACATGGAAAGAGCTGCCTTTTGTTCTTACCTCATTTAGGGTCAAAGGGACGGAGGTGAAACCACTTATCTCTTCCCTGGGTCAGTCTGAGCAGACTCCCTGGTACCCCAAAAGAGCTCTTGGGCTACAACACTCTACATTACTGAGAGGCTGGGGACTGCATGACGAGAGTTGCCATAGTAGACAAGGTTCCAATTCACATGCTCACACATTTATAAACTGCTGTGTTCTATAGGAGACAACAATTAGGCGCTGTAGAAACATACAGCCTACCAGGCCCTCCCGGTCACCTGTACCGGCCAGCACTGCCTCTTCTGCTCACTTGCTGTCTGTTCAGACTGTGCGGCAGGCAGCGGTTCCCATGCCTAAGGTCATTAGCATTGCTGGGAACACTCCTGGGAAAGAGTGACCTGTGAGTCTGTCCAAACCGTGGGGTTTTACTTGTTTAAACTTCCCATGCATATTTTCATGGTCAGCTAGGTTTGGGCCACTGAGTAGATGTGCAACTCGTGGAGGGCGGAAAGGAGTTGAAGGCCTCATCTCGTGCCACACGAGGCATCTGTGTACACCACACCAGAGTCTTCAGGGGAGGCCCCTAGCCTCTGACATGAGGAGTGGGAGCCAGTGGCCATAGGGAAGGCAAAGAGGAAACTCAGAAAGCAGCTCTCCCCCATTTATTCAACAAATCTTTCTCTCATGAGCTTCAGGTCCTGGTGATACCACTCTCTCCACAGTGGCTTCAGTAGGAGGGCGTTCCTTCTATGCCGCTTCCCTCTGCCTAACTCTGCCACAGCAGCTGTCTCCAGGGACAGGTTTAGTAGCTAGAGGGTGGGACACAGAATCCCCAAACCATCCGGGGCCACGGACAGCAGTTCACTCTTCCCTGTTGCTATTTTGAAGGCTCAGAGTGGTATAGAAGTTTTTAGTCATGACAGACCTGAGTTAAGATCACAACGCTGCCACTTAATGGTTTTTAATATTTAAACAAGGTGTCCAAATTCCCTGAGCCTCTATCTTCTCATCTGTAAATGAGGGTAAAGATCTTTCTCAAATACTGAGTTTTAATAATGCCCCAAACTCTAGCCAACAGACGCCCTTACCCAAGCCCCTGATGGAGGGCTGGCCCCAGGAAACTTCTTTCAGAACCACCAGTCAGGACTCCTGAGTACTGCAGCAGACTGTTGATCACAGCTGCGGAGTCTGAACATGGCCCCCCACCCCTGCCCCAAGTTCCTCTCCAGAGCCCCTTGGGTCCTCGCATGTTTGTGGAGCAACTTTACTCGGTACAGGCAGCAGAAGGATGAGGGAGCCATACCTCTGAGCCATGGGGGCAGATTTATTTGGTTGATAGGACTAATATTTGTGTAACCTGCTGAGACCTGTGTGGGAGAGTTTAGGGTGGTTTTGCTTTTGGTGAGGGGGTTTGCTCCAGTTTCACATTCATTAACACAAAACTGAGCTACTCAGGGCCCTTGTGGTCTGTGGTGAGGGGATTCCTGTGGAGAAACCGGACTGAGTGAGTCAGGCCAGGGGAATGTCTTCCTTGCAGAGTGGAGTCAACTGGATAACTGATGAGCCAATGGTGGGATTAGGGAGGGGGAAGTGGGAGGGGAAGAGAAGAACTTCTGACATCTTGAGCTGGGATTAGAGGCGGAAAGCTTTAGGGTATGGAAGGTAAGGGGTCAGAATCAGTCTGAACTCAGAAGAGAACTAAGCTGAGTTTACAAAAGGGTGCTGTCCTGTATCCAGGCAACGGGGAAAAGCAGGAGCGCTGCTTTCACAAGAACTTCCATGCTCCCACCTCAACGAGGGTGTGGGCCTTTCGTGGCAAGCCAGCCTGAGTTAGGTCTACCGGTGCTCTAGTCTCTGCCCTGTGGGTTCTGACCCGGAAGGAAGCAGGCCTCTCCTGGCATCTGAAGTCGCTTGGTACACTTCCCTGGGCCCTGGATTCTAGCTGTTAAAGACCCAAGTTTTGTAATTTTCCTCTACATGCTTAAGAGAAGCTGAGAGAACAAAAGGTTTGCAAAGTGACAAAAATGGCAAAAAAGAAGAAGTCCATGTGAGCCCACTCCAGAGGCTATGCGCCCCCAAGAAGGAAGGGTGCCACGCAGTGAATTACCCCCCTATTCTCTAGCTTGCCCCCGCATTCCGACTGGCTTTAGACAACTGGCATGTATTCTGCACTATACAAACAGAAACTAATTTATTTGGAACACGCAGCAAAATGAGAACTTTATTTGGTGCAGTGAAGCTCCACGTAGTTCTGCTGCTGCCCTCCCCTTTCCCACCCTCCTCCACTCAGCAGAGGGCTGCCAGTGCAGCCAGCCTGTCTCTTAGCCGCCCCCCTCTCCCGTGGCTTCCTTCTGGTCACCTTTTAGTATTTAGGTGCACTACATTACAGAAAGCGCTGTTTAGACAGAGTTGACTCAGAAGACGCTGTCCTTCAAGGAGGCAGGAGGCACATGACCAAAGTGCTCAGCTGCACAGCCTGCAGCCAGTTTTTCACACAAAGTAAGCCTGCTGGCCCAGCCTTGACCATCCTGCAGAAGAGCTGGCCTGCCTGTGAGTAACAGCCCTAATCCACATCTGCCTTGGAGTGATGCTGGAAAGAGGAGATCAGGGACTCAGGTGAATGAAGAGAGCCCAGTGTTACCTGACCCCAGGCAGTTTGCAGAATCTTGTAGGTTGGACTCAGGTCAGCTCACTGCCTCATTCTCTTCCTCCCCGTGTGTGAAGAGTAATTTCTGCTCTCAGTCACCTGCTTTAACAGCAACAGCAACCACTAAGTCCTTTGTCAAATACTCAGACCCACTCAGGTCACTGGTTTCTACATGAATTGATAGAGAGACAGACCGGGTTTTCCCCACCAGCCGGCCTTTCGGAGGCTTTTATTTAAATGCCCTCAGTGGCCGCAGGGCAGAAGCCCAAGGGAAGACACCAGGGAGAGTATGTTTCTCATCCCTGGGAGCTGTCAGCCTCACTCCTGCAGCCAAATTACAGCACCAGAGAACAATGCGATGCATTCCTGGGCAGGTCGGTGGGACCCCGGGTGCCTGGGCCTTGCGAGAGAGGTGCCAGACACAGAGCTCTCCGTCAGCAATCCTGCAGAGCCGCCCCTGGGTGCAGAAATGAAATACGGGAGAGCTTCACATTACACAGAGACCTGCAGCGCACACCTGGTTATTGATGGCCTGGGGGAGGCCTCTCCCCCCCCAACCCACTTCAGAACGCCTGCTGCTCGGAGGCTGGGCATCTTTGAAGCCATGCTGGAAAACAGGAGATGCTTCCCTTTCACTTTTTGTGCTCCCGTCAGCCCTCACCCACAGACTTGAGGGTACAGGCACACTTGTGTACACACACACATAGCCTCCCTCAGAATGCACGAGAGTTTTAGTCCTCTTCTCTCTTTCCATCAATTAAAAAAAAAGAAAAAAGAAAAACTAGATTTCAATCAAATCCTTTAAGAATCCCGACGGGTTCAAATTTAGCCAAGAAACATTAAAAAGTTACATTATCAACATGCAGGCAGTTTGGCTGGGTCGAGGGGGCTGGTACTCCCTGGGAGATGGCAGGGAAGCACACAGAGAGGGCGTGGAGAGAAGAGCTCCATAGTAAACAACCATCACCCAAGAAGAGTGGCTGAGGCTGAAGAACTTCTAGCTAGACAGAGAGCAATTCGTGGCTCATGTGCGGTGGGTGACAGAAGTTTCCTACGACTGTGCGAGACAGCATTTCTAAGCCAGCTCCTCGTGACCTGCTGTTTTTGATTTTCATTAAGTTAGAAAGCAGGGTTCCAACTTCAGGATCCAGGGATGATTTCCAGAGGGAAGAGGGCGGCACTGGTGGAGAGAGAGCAGAGGCTTCTCATGCCATGGTTGCTACACCGAACTAAGCTTCCCCAGGGCTGTTACTCTCTTTGGGTGCTTGGCAGGCTGCAGGCATGGCCAGTGGGCTGTCAGTGATATGCCTGTCTCTCACCCCAAAGACCAAAGGGTAGAAGAGAAAAGTCTACAAGAGCACTTCCCACTTCACGGTTGAAATGCTTCATGGTTGAAGTGGTCTGTGAGCATCTTTGTGGCTTTTCGCTGAAGGCGTTTTAGGCATCCTGCATTTGAGAGAGCAAGGGAAGCACTGTCCCTCTGGATTATCCTCGCTTAAAAGCTGCCTTTGCTCATTTAATTCGGCTCATGAATCTGTGGATAGAGCAGCTGGACATGACAGTTCTTTCTCTGACCAAAGAAGCCAAAATCTGATGATTATTTCAACACCACTGGCCCCTGTAAGCAGGCCTCGCCAACAGGCAAAGCTGAGTAAAGAAAAAAAATGAGACAACTTTCAAGGCAGGGTGTCCCCAAGAATAAGTAGGTGTGATGCTCATAAGAAGCGCTTCCCGGACAGAGTGCTTTAGCAGATACAGTGGTCACACCCCCGGGGTGGTTGACAGGAAGGAATTACTGTCACAGCACAGGGGCTGCTCAGAGGCTCAGTGGTTTGTCCAGGGTCCCCTAGCTCATGCACAGCTTGGCCAGAACGCAAACCCAGGGTTCCTGACATCCGAGTGTGCTCCTCAAAGACAGGGTGCCCAAGCCGCAGAGTCCCAGTGCCTTCAGAACTAAATGGGTGCAAAACACTTTAGGAGCATGTATTTGAGCAGAACTTACAAAAGGAACAGCAGCTAGGTCCTTCCCTAACTTCATAAATGAGTCCCCCTTTGAAATTTCTGCCACCACCACTACTGCCACGAAATAATTACTGCACCAAATAGCCCACATTTCATTAACTCTGGCTCCTCAATCTCTCTATTCCTTTCTTCCTCTTCAGAATAATATGTACAATTTTGTCTAGTTATTTTAAAATCATGCTAAATGTGTAAACAGTAATAGCGAGAAGTCACAAGAGGTAATTATTATTTAAGACTTTGAGCTTTTAAAGTATATATTGGAATT